GTAGTCGTCGTCGTAGTAGTAGCAATAGTAGTAGTAGTAGTAGTAGTAGTAGTAGTAGCAGCATAACCCTAAACCTGAACCCTAAACCGGGTACTACGATAACAATGGCAGTGCTAAGCCCGTAAGCCCCTAGCCTAAAGTCCCTAAAGCCCCTAAACCCTAAACCCTGAACCCTAAACCCTGAACCCTAAACCCCTAAACCCTGTTCAATCTCTCGGGGTGTAGTGGGGATTGCAGATGGAGGCCCCGACTTTGAGATTTGGGGGTTAGGGGTTTAGGGGGTTTAGTGGTTTTAGGGGTTTTAGGGTTTAGGCTAGGGGTTTAGAGGGGTGAAGTGGTGTAGGGGTTCAGGATGTAGGATGTAGGGTCTAGGGGTTGGGGTTTAGGATTTCGGGTCGCGGCTTCATAAAACGATCCGAGAGATGTCGGGTAAAGGGCTTAAGGTGGCAACTTTCGAGCTCCAAAGTTTAGGGATGAGGGTTTAGAGCTCCAGGGTTTAGGGTTTAGGGCTCCGGGGTTTAGGGCTTAGGGCTCCGGGGTTTAGGGTTTAGAGCACCAGGGTTTAGGGTGTTTAGAGCTCCAGTGTTTAGGGTTTAGAGCTCTTGGGGTTTAGAGCTCCGGGGTTTAGGTTTAGAGCTCCAGGGTTAGAGGTTCGACGATTGAAGATCAGAGATTGAGAGGTGAGGCTCTTGAGCGAAGCATCCCCTAAAATCCGATACTCTGAACCTCCGTACCCTAAACCTTAAGCTCCTAAACCCACAAGTCCTTAGCTCCTAAATGCCGCCTTAATTCTAAGGTAGAACCATGGGCCCCTAGTATGGGCCCTTAACCCTGCCCTAAATATACCTACTCTATACCCTCTATGTACCCTTAAGGGACCCTAGAATCCCCTAAGGGCCCATGTTAGGGGCCCATGGGTTCAACCTTAGATTAACGGCCCATCTGATGGTCGGGTCTTTGTGCAAACCCTAAACCCTAAACCCTAAACCCTAAACCCTAAACCCTAAACCCTAAAACCCTAAACCCTAAACCCTAAATGCCGCAATGCAAGCTGGAATCTGAACCCGAAGGCTTCGGCTCCAAAGCTGTGCCGACCTAGGGTTTAGGGTTTTAGGGTTTTAGGGTTTTAGGGTTTTAGGGTTTTAGGGTTTAGGGTTTAGGGTTTAGGGTTTAGGGTTTAGGGTTTAGGGTTTAGCTGCGACGACACCCACTGGGCAGCAGTGGCTATCGCCAGGGACTGCGACGAAGCTGTCCTCTTTGACGGGCTCCGGAAAGAGTCCATACGAGCAGTCGCTGAGCAGTTTCTGAAAAAGGTCAGGCAAGTGCATGATGGCAAGGTCTGCCAGCTGGTGGAGGGCGAGAACGTCGGCACTCAATCCGACGCCTGGTGGTGTGGGCAACGGGTTCTGCTTGCCTTGCACCACACCTTGTGCTCGGTTAAAATGGCTTCGGTCCGGAATTCCTGACTTGGCTCTGTTCGCAGCACAGCGCCAAGTGTGGGATGCATGCCGCCCCAGGCGAACCGCCCCTGGATGCCCAGGTTCGAGATTTCGCGGTTTAGGGCTTATGGCTTAGAGTTTTGGGGCTTAATCATACGTTTGATGATAAAAAAAGATCTGCATTTCCCGTAATAAGGAATATACCATAGTTCCCATAGTTCAATTTCCTTAAGGTAATGCAGGATTCATATCATCAACAGTACCTCGGCATCCTACCTGGAGGATTGTGTGTGTGTGTGTTGAAAGCCCTAAACCCTAAGCCCTAAAACCTAAACCCTAAAAGCCCTAAGTCCTAAACCCTAACCCCTAAACCCTAAGCCCCAAACCCCAAACCCCAAACCCTAAACCTGAATGCTCGGAAGATGAATTGAGAAGAGGTTACGGTTACAAAGCGCGAAGTCCGGATGAAAAACACCGAACCCCCCGTACTTATCGGGACCTGGCAACCCTAAACCCTAAACCCTAAACCCTAAACCCTTGGGGGGTAGCGGGGACGGGGTAGGGGAGGGGACTTTTGCTTCCTTAAAATAGGCCTTAGTCGGTCCTTATTGCTGGTACTAAAGGCGCCCTAGACCCCTCCCCCCTGCTCCCCCCTAAGGGTCCCTACGAGGCAAGAAACGTGCATGTTAGAACTCAAGGAGCTGGTTTAGGGTTTAGGGTTTAGGGTTTAGGGTTTAGGGTTTAGGGCTTGTGTCTGCTTAGTAGTTCGAGTGCCCCCTCTTCTTCTGCAAGGGCGGATCCGAATCACCCTTTGGAGTAAGGGCCTGAAGAAGGGGTTCATTGCAGTTTCAAGAAAAGAGGAACACCCCTATATACACTAAGCTTAAAATCCTAAACCCTAAATCCTAAACCCCTAGAATTCGATACTCTGAACCTCTATACCCTAAACCTGAAGCTCCTAAACCCACAGGCCCTTCGATCCTAAATGCCGCGTTTAATGGCTTCTCTGAGGAAGAACTCCATCTCACGAGCCATCATGGAAGATGGCACGCAGCCCAAGCCTTCATGGGTGAGGGTTTAGGGTTTAGGGTTTAGGGTTCAGGGTTCAGGGTTCAGGGTTTAGGGTTTAGGGTTTAGGGTTTAGGGTTGTAGGGCATTGCATGGCTCAAAAGGGCTCTAAGGGAAGGATAAAGGCAGGCGGAGGAATCCCAAAAAACGAGTCCTTATATGGGTAGTTGTCAAAATTCGGGTCCCTTTTGGGCCCTGAATAATAGGTGCCGTATTATAATAAGGACCCAAAAAAGGACCATAATTTTGACAACCACCCATATAAGAGATCCCGGGTCCTACCTACCTTCATCCCACCTTTAGAAGCCTCCAAATGGCACACGGTGCGAGTAGCCCAGCCATTGGGGGTTTTAAGTGTCCTTAGGGCTCTTGAAGGCTCGTAATTCGAGGGCTTATCTTAAACTACAGTGTTCTCCTGTGTTGTAGCGTCGCTATGCTTTAAAATTTAGGTTCATCACAAGAGTCCAAGGACAAGTACGCATGAAGTTACCCCTTCTAGCAGGGCCTAGGCTTCTTGAGTCCGGAGTTTTGACTCCTAAGCCCTGCCTTAACCGGAAACAACCTACCTATCTAAGGACGTTGATAAGGAAATCATAAGAAGGAACCCTAAGCAGGTAGGTTCGTCGTGGTAAACCCTAAACCCTTGTGTTGATAGGCCTGAATCCTCACACCCTACAAATGCCAGCATCAGGCATCAGGGACGTCAATGTAGACTTCAACCAGTAGCCCTATGTACATAGTAGTATATACTTAGACATGTATCGACATGACCAAAGTAATGGAAACGCGGACCATGGGGTAAGATGGTTGTACCTTCAAGCCGTATACAGTAAACCTCCGTGAGGCTAAGCCGTAAGCCCAAAACCTAAACCTTAAACCCTAAACCCTAAACCTAAGTCCGAAAACACAGTAGTGGGAGGGGTCGATGCCGAAAGAAAAACCTGCTCCCGGCCTGGATTGGGAATGAGCCGCTACTTGGAGGGTCGGGGGGACTTAGTACATGGTTATTTTAAAGACTTATAAGTGCTATAACCCCAATTAGGGTCCCTTTTGGGGTACTTATAAGTCTACTTATTGTCTACTTACTAAGTCTCCCGACCCTCCAAGTACTGCAGCCCGATGCACTCCCAAACAAACGAAACGTCCTGAGGCACCGGAACTCCGAATTCTCCTAAACCCTAAGGAAAAAGCACCAACACCATCAAGCCCTTGCGTAAGGTCCGACCCGACTATATCACCCAAAGCCATAAGCCTCAACAAACCTTTAAGTCCCCGGGGTTAGGGAACCTAAACTCAAAGCCAAAACCCTGAACTTTCTTCGCAAAACCCTAGCGCAGATGTCCGACTACTCAGCAAGACTACATGCCCCGCACCAACACAATCCTGAAATCCAAACTCTAAGCCATTCATGTTTGAGATTAGCTAACCTTACAACATGTTCTATTTTGCTTATAGGGCTTAATACGAGCTCTTCTGAGTATCTTATTTACTACTTGGGTAGTTATCTTTTTTAGAGCCCCTGTTTAGATCGCCAAAATTGTACGGCACCTTATAAAGAGGACCCGAAAAGGGACCCTAGTTTGGAGACCTACCCACCTTTTTTAGAGGCTTTGTAGTAGGGCCAACCTTTTGGGAGTCGTAGAGCTAGTTCTTAAACCCTAAACCCTAAACCCTAAACCCTAAACCCTAAACCCTAAACTTAAGCTCAGTTTCCGGAGTCTCTGAGAGGTACGCCACGCCGGATGGATGAGGACGAGGACGGTTGAACCCGAAACGCCTTTGAAAGTTTGGGCTGAGGTTTTGGATGTTTGGTTGGTGGGATTTTCAGGTTTTTGCAACAATTGATTGCAAAACAACGTGTGTTCAAAGGCGGTTTGGTAGCATTTTCTGTTGCATCGGGGGGTCAAGGCGCTGCATCGCGATTGAGGGGAGGTCAACGGTGCAAGAGGGTTCATGGCTTTGCAGTGTGCAGGGTTGGGTTTTCATTCTGTATGTTTTGTTTTCGTACCAAGGCGGCTTGCACCACCACCACCGCCACCTCCTCCTCGCACAGCAACAGCAATAGGACCATCTAAACCCCAAGCCCTAAACTCTAAACCCTAAGCCCTCTAAACCC